TTAAGTTCAAGATGCAAATCGTATTAAATATGATACAAACCTGGAAAGAGTACAGTAGGATAAACCCAAAATGGTATCCTTTGGTCTCAGTATTGTTGACGGCTTTAACACCGAAAGACCATGCCAAAAACACCACAATAGCCAAAAGCAACGTTGTCAGAAGATTCACCCTAAAAATTCCAAACAGATGACATCATGATCGGAAAAAATTACTCCACCCTTGCCCAGAGTAGGAGTGTGAGGGAAATGTTCCCTCTCCTTTCCTTAATAGGTTTCTCAACCTATCAAGCAACCACTTTGATCTTATAAAACCGCTGCACACTCTCCATACATCCTTAGGCTGAGCAAAGGAGAAAGCAAATGAAACTTTTTAAAAATTCAAAAAGAGCCCCAAGCCAGTCTAAACTTTCTGAAAATTGTCAAAAACGATTTCTCTCATCAAAACAGTTAGTTTCGACTAATAAAAACATGTTTTACAAAGTTTTGGTAAAATGCAAAGGAGGAACCACAGGCATACCTAGGCTGACGGAAGGGGGGCTACAAAAACATTTTCAAAAATTCTAAAAGTGCCCCAAATCACGCCAAACTTTCTGAAATTTATTGCAAACCATTTCTCGCATCAAAACAGTGACTTTCAACTAATGTTTTGAAAAAGTGGAAAGTTTTGGTAAGAACTGCATATTGGCTACCACAAGTTTATCTCAATGGTTTAGTTAAATGTAAAAACTTGATACATACTTGATTCTCAGCGGGGCTTTGCTACCGTCGTTTTGTTGAGGGCGAATAAAAACGTGAATGACCAATCCAAGACGAAGCAGGATATTGACCTAATAAAGAGCCGGTCGAAAATGAAGAACAGATTTTTTATATGTTACATGACACACGCTCAAAACGAATGAGTATAATATAACCGCTACCATCCAGCTATAGACTAAATTTTGATGCAGGCAAGAAGAGCAAAATATGGGACCATAGCTAGAAAGAGCATGTTAGAGAATTAGTGAATTTGCAAAGTTTGGTCGTGAAAATGTTGTACAATGAGGAAAATATACCCCAGCGAAATTTGCAAATTTTGTCTTAATTTGTATTACGCGCGGGAAAATGCACCACATTTGGGCAGAAAGTGTTGCATTTTCCCGCGCGTAATACAAATTAATACAAAATTTGCAAATTTCGTTGGGCTATATTTTCCTCATTTTACAACATATTTCGCAACCAAACTTTGCAGTTTTACTAATTTTAACATGCTCTTTCTTGCTGTACTTTGCAAATTTACTAATTTCAACATGCTCTTTCTAGCTGTGGTGATGGATTTTGTTCTTCTTGCCTAGATCAAAATTTAGTCTATAACTGGAATAACTGTCTATAAGTATTACGCGCTTACTTATGTCACTTTACTTAGCCCATCTCTACAACAGTCAGCTCGATCTCTTCCGAAAATTAAGGCTATGTCTTAATTGTAAAAAGCGTTCAATTAAGACATTGCCTTAATTTTAAACATAACCCCAATCCCCACCCTTACCTCTAACCCCTAACCGCTAACCCTAATCTAATCTTAGTCTAACCCTAATCAAATCCAAATCTGGCAACCTCTTTTTTTTTAAAAGCTCCCTTAGTAAGGCCATTACTTTTGTAGCATGAACTCTTGCATCCTTAATTTTCAAAAGTTTTACAATTAAGACATAGCCTTAATTTTGAGAAGAGATCATGCTGACAACAGCACACTCTTTCGATAATTACGTCACACATACTTTTTGGTCTTGGAGCCTCGCTCTCATTAGTAAATTACGCAAGGTGATTGCCTCACGATTCATGAGAGCGAGGCTCCCAGGCCAAATGACGTAATTATCGGGTGTAATGTGATCACTGCACATTCTTGACTGTGTTTATCCTGTTCTACTCACCACAAAGAGAGCCAGAAATGGTCCAAAGAAATAACCGTAAGTCGCCTTGTCGATGAACACCCATACACTACAAGATAACATTATAGAATTTTTCAAGAACACTAACATGTGTTGCCTATGAATTAACTGGAAAGCTATAGAAGGGAATAATACAAGGGTTTAGCAACTACGTGTAAACATTGTAGCTTACATTTCACTCGACATTGGTTGGCCATTATGAGGCATGTTGTAGCCAGCAGTGGCTCCAGCGAAGGCTGCTGTAAGCGCTGTAATATAAAAAAGATTTCTTAATGGGAGTGGTAATCCAGTATGAATAAAGTTATAATCTGGAACTAATAGAACTATCCAGTATAAATAAAGTCAGTTTAGTTTACGTTTCCTCCTATAGTAACACTGGATCAATAAGAGATGATCCTTACTGGACCTCTAGGAAGAACAGTTTAGAACTGATAAAGCTATCCAGTATAAATAAAGTTAGTTTAGTTTAGGTTTCCTCTTGTAGTAATACTGAATCAATAAGGGATGATTCTTACTGGACCTCTAGGAAGAACAGTTTAGAACTGATAGAGCTATCCAGTATAAATAAAGTTAGTTTAGTTTAGGTTTCCTCTTGTAGTAATACTGAATCAATAAGGGATGATTCTTACTGGACCTCTAGGAAGAACAGTTTAGAACTGATAGAGCTATCCAGTATAAATAAAGTTAGTTTAGTTTGGGTTTCATCTTGTAGTAATACTGAATCAATAAGGGATGATTCTTACTGGACCTCTAGGAAGAACAGTTCGGAAGTGGAACTGATAGAGTTATCCAGTATAAATAAAGTTAGTTTAGTTTTCCTCTTGTAGTAACACTGGATCAATAAGAGATGATCCTTACTGGACCTTTAGGGAAAACAGTTTAGAACTGATAGAGCTTTCGAGTATAAATAAATTTAGTTTAGTTTAGGTTTCGTCCAGTAGTAACACTGGATCAATAAGAGATGACTCTTACTGGACTTCTAGGAAGAACGGTTTCGAACTGATGCAGTACAAATGAAACTAGTCTTACCCCAGCCAAGGGAAATGTAAAGCTTCTGCGTGTTGGTATTTTCGTAGTTGAATATCGGGCATATTGTATTGATGAAGTACACTGCTTCAAGACACAGCCACACGAAAGGTGAGAGTTGACAGAAATGAAGGGCAATTGACAGAATGTCGTTCAAAACCTAAAAACCACAAAAATACATCGTTATGGTTGAAACTGGGTTAAATACTAAAGAATAGTTATATAAATGCACAAATACCCCAATGTCACTCTTGACAGCTCCAATAATAAAGAGGAAGTAACCAATGATTAAGACAACACACAGATGAATATGGATATTGACACGATCGTTGTCCAAGACGCTGCAGATCAATCACAGCAAATGTTAGACGTAAATTAATACACAGAAGGACTTGAACTAACTTTATTTATACTGGATAGCTCTATCAGTTCTAAACTGTTCTCCCTAGAGGCCCAGTAAGGATCATCTCTTATTGAACCAGTGTTACTGCAGGAGGAAACCTAAACTAAACTAACTTTATTTATACTGGATAGCTCTATCAGTTCTAAACTGTTCTTCCTAGAGGTCCAGTAGGATCATCTCTTATTGATCCAGTGTTACTACAGGAGGAGACCTAAACTAAACTAACTTTATTTATACTGGATAGCTCTATCAGTTCTAAACTGTTCTTCCTAGAGGTCCAGTAGGATCATCTCTTATTGATCCAGTGTTACTACAGGAGGAAACCTAAACTAAACTAACTTTATTTATACTGAATAGCTCTATCAGTTCTAAACTGTTCTCCCTAGAGGTTCAGTAAGGATCATCTCTTATTGTCCCAGTGTTACTACAGGAGGAAACCTAAACTAAACTAACTTTATTTATACTGGATAGCTCTATATCAGTTCTAAACTGTTCTTCCTAAAGGTCCGGGAAGGATCATCTCTTATTGATCCAGTGAAATCCAGTGTTAATACAGGAGGAAACCTAAACTTTATTTACACTGGATAGCTCTATCAGTTCTAAACTGTTTTTCCTACCTCTTATTGATCCAGTGTTACTACAGGAGGAAACCTAAACTAAACTAACTTTATTTATATCACAGTGACATCAATCTGACAGAAACAACAAAAAGAAACATACTCCAGTTTTTTCGCCATATGAATGGTGGCAACGAGAGCAGCTATCGCCAAAACACAAAACACAATTGCCACAATCCGCACCACTTTCCTTGCAGTTTCATCAGCCTGAGAGAAAAAGAATAAACATTATTTCCTCACTCTGATAACTGCAGGTTGATCACCATCTGCTGGACGATTCTGCTTAGTGAAAGCATAGCCTATCGAAGAGAAAATGGCTGTGGAACTCATTAGAATAACAATATAACTCATTATCTACGTTAGTCAACGTTTATTCATAAATCTGGTCCTTCACCGTCACGTGCGTATTGTATTTTTACCCAACTAACCAATAGCAATGTTTTAAGAAAGTCACCTATCCGTGACTCGAACAATAGGGTAAATTGGAAATTGCTATTGGTGGATTTGGCAAAAATACAATACACACGTGACGGTGAAGGACCAGATTTATAAATAAACGTTGACTAACATAGATAATGAATTATATTGTTATTCTAATGAGTTTCACAGCCATCTTCCCTTTGATACGCCATGGTTGATGATGATGATGATAACTTTATTTAACCAGGCTAACATTGTCAGCTAAAGCTGTTTTCCACAATGGGCGTGTAAAATATTTACAAATAGTTACAAGTATAATGAAAAGAACAAAGAATAAGCATGCAGATATACATAAACATTCAAAAAGTATCTATTTACAAGATTCATGAATCATGTTATTTCAAAAGGTAAGAGTAGCGATTTTTCTTTTAAAACATGAAATCGATTTACTTTCTCTTGTATATTGTGGTATGGAGTTCCAGATAGAAGCTCCATCGTACATAAAACTTTTCTTCGTATTGTTCGTATTTCTTCATATTAAAGCTATATGGATTAGTGAAACTTTTCAAAGCATTCTCCTCACCTCTGGGTGAGCTTCAGACAAGACAACAAATGTCGACATGTGGTTATAAGAACAGACAGTATGTGTCTCGTTGTTGAGAACAAGACTGCTGCCAATACTGGACCAAAATCCAGCTGATGATCTAGAATATGATACGATAAAACTCAGTGACATTCATTACATTTTCTACTGTACAGTACAGTACAGTACAGTACAGTAGAGTACAGTACAGTACAATCTCAAAGTCACTAATACTTCATGAGTAAATTAGCCAACACTATCGCCCGTATTCTAAAAGCTCATTCAGACTCAATCTCGAGTGTCATTGCTGTTTTTGAATAGCTGGAGGGTTAGTACTTGTTTACTATGTGACTGCTCACCCTCCAGCTATTCAAAAACAGCATTGATACTCAAGAGAAGCTCAGATTCAACCTCCACTCATTGAGTGTGAGTGAGCTTTTAGAATACGGGCGTATTACTTTACTTTGTTCACATGATAATTCTGGATACCTGGTGAAGAATATTAATTCACATACAAACAAGAATAATAATACTTACGTTCCCGACCAGAAATAACATCTGTGGTTTTTGACACCATCATTCTAAAATGATTCAAAATTCACAAGTGATTACAATTACTGACTACAGTTCAGAATAGGTCAAAAACCTGTAGAGTATATTCAAAGCTACAACGATCATTGACTTCAATGGTGTCAAGTAAGGAAGTAAATGTACTTCGTTACTGTACTTGAGTATTATTTTTGAGAAGTCAGCATGTAACAAAGTAAACTTTTTTGAGTACTTTTACTTGAAACGAAGTCGTTTTAAGAAGTAATGTTTTACTTCGTTATTTTCATTTTGTGGCGAATTAAGTATTTCGTTAGTTTCTAACTTTTGTTTAATTTTACGTGATTTACTTTAATTATGGGACAGGTAATAGAACCTTACTTTTACTTTGTACTTCAAGTATTTTTTAAGGATACTTTGTACTTTTTACTTAAGTACGTTTTGCCTCCAGTACTTTTTACTCTTTAGTCGTTTTATTGTCAATAACTACCACGAACCATTCATAGCTTAGTGTAAGAACAAGACGAGCTAGCTCGAATAGCGCAGGAGTACTACATGTAAAAACGCACAAGTTGTTACAGGCTGCAAACAAGTTGTTACAAATCTGTTCACAAGCTGTCGACAAGTTGTGTTCGCACTGCTTGTTCCCAGTTGTTGTAACACGTTTGAAACAAGCTGTTAACAACTTGTAACAAGCTTGATGGCATTATCAGACTTGTCACAAGGTTGTTCTAACAAATCTGATACAGTCATGATAATAAAAAATGTTACAAGGTTGACGACACAAGGTTGTAACAATACTGCTATATTATGTCTGTATAGGACTTCTTGGAACAACCTTGCAACAAGCCTGATAATACCAACAAGGTTGTTACAAGTTGTTAACAGCTTGTTCCAAACTTGTTGACAAATTGGGACAAGCAGTGCGAACACAACTTGTTGACGGCTTGTTGGCAGACTTGCTACGAGATGTGAGATTTTTACGTGTGTAGAATAGCGTGCTAGTAACACACGTAAAAAGTGCAAGGTGATACAGATCTACAAACAAGTTCTAACAAGGTTGTTGTCAAGGCGATATCAGGATGTGTTCGCACTGCTTGTTCCCAGTTGTTGTGACAAGTCTGGAACAAGTTGTTATCATATTGTTACAAGGTTGATGACGGTAACAGACTTGCTACAAGTTGTTCCAACAAGACTAATACAGGCTGTTCGTAACAAGTTGCTACGAGCTTGTTGTCATCAACTTGTTAACAACTTGTTACGTGCAGACGATATCAGACTTGTTGGAACAACTTGTTGCGAGTCTGTTGGCCTCATCAACCTTGTTACAAGATGATAACAACTTGTTCCAGACTTGTCAACAACTGGGAACAAGCAGTGCGAACACATCTTCTTGACAAGCTGTGAGAATTTTCAAAAATATTTGACTCACCTTTGATCGTTTGAATTGAATACGGAAAGGATTTTGAAGCGGAGCAGTAGGCTTTGGCTCCAGAAGGAATGTAATAACTGGACTGTTAATGACGAGATCTGGTTTTTCCTTATTCACCAGTATCTTGTTCTTTTCTATCCTCATATCTGAGACTGGCAACCTCCACACAATACTGAAGAAAACGAGTAATTCATTTAGTTTTATCAGTCCAGCAATTAGTGTCATCTCTTATTGATTAGAGTATTATACTACAGGAAGAAACCTAAACTAAACTAACTTTATTTATACTGGATAGCTCTATCAGTTCTAAGCTGTTCTTCATAGAAGTCCAGTAAGGATCATCTCTTATTGATCCAGTGTTACTACAGGAAGAAACCTAAACTAAACTAACTTTATTTATACTGGACAGCTCTATCAGTTCTAAACTGTTCTTCCTAGAGGTCCAGTAACAGTCATCTCTTATTCATCCAGTGTTACTACAAGAAGAAACCTAAACTAAACTAACTTCATTTATACTGGATAGCTCTATCAGTTCTAAACTGTTCTTCCTAGAGGTCCAGTAAGGATCATCTCTTATTGATCCAGTGCTACAGGAGGAAACCTAAACTAAACTAATTTTATTTATACTGAATAGCTCTATCAATTCTAAACTGTTCTTTCTAGAGGTCCAGTAAGGATCATCTCTTATTGACCCAGTGTTACCACAGAAGGAAACCTAAACTAAACTAACTTTATTTATACTGGATAACTCGGTTCATTAAGCAGCTATTTAGCATAGTTAGTTTCACTTACTCTCTAAAGGGTTCAGTCTCATCTTCAGGGACTTTGGTGTCTCGCGCTTCAGAAATGCTCCAGGCAACCCGAACACGACCTGATCGAATGGGTAGATCATTCCTAAAATACCGTATACTGTTGGAAGCCCTGCTGCCGAGTTTTTCTTTTGTGCCCTCCATCGAAATGTTGGGGAAGGAGAACACACCACCAGAACTATTTGTGTACATTGAGGAATCAATTGTAGACGCTCCCAAAGCTGCAAATATAGGAGAAGAAATTACAATATAAAACCTACACCAACTTTATTTATACTGGATAGCTTTATCAGTTCTAAACTGTTCTTCCTAGAGGTCCAGTAAGAATCATCTCATACTGATCCAGTGTTACTACAGGAGGGAATCTAAACGAAACTAACTTTATTCATACTGGATAGCTCTATCAGTTCTAAACTGTTCTTCCTAGAGATCCAGTAAGGGTCATCTCTTATTGATCCAGTGTTACTACCGGAGGAAATCTAAACTTAACAAACTTTATTTATACTGGATAGCTCTATCAGTTCTAAAGACTAAACTGTTCTCCTTAAAGGTCCATGCAGTAAGGATCATCTCTTATTGATCCAGTGTTACTACAGGAGGAAACCTAAACTAAACCAACTTTATTTGTACTGGATAGCTCTATCAGTTCTATACTGTTCTCCCTAGAAGTCCAGTAAGAGTCATCTCTTATTGATCCAGTGTTACTACAGGAGGAAACCTAAACTAAACTAACTTTATTTATACTGGATAGCTCTATCAATTCTATACTGTTCTTTCTAGAGGTCCAGTAAGGATCATCTCTTCTTGATCGATCCAGTGTTACTATACACAAGGAAAAGGTCCAATAAGAGCCACTTACCAAGTTGGTCTGTTGCTATGACAACAGTGGCGTTGACATCTTTCTGTGTGTCCAGTTTAGTTTTGATATCTTGAGAAATTCTCAATGCCAAGCTCTCGCCAGTGTCTGCCAATGACGTTGGATGTTTGGAGTAATCCTGAAATGGAATAGAAAATATAGACTTATAACTTTCAATATAATTTAAGATATCGATAACTTTTAGAAATGACTGTAAAACGATTTTATATCTGGCCAATATTTAAAATAAAATCGGATATATTCAATTATATTTCACCTTTGGTAAAATGGGTCGGGGTCAGTGGCGTAGCCAGTGCGACGATTTGGTCCCGCTATGCAAATTTCAACTCATTATCATTATTCATTTCTATAGAAATTGATTGTGTTGTCGACAGTTTATAAACCAGGGTTGGTAGGTTAGATGAATAATTGGGCCAAATCGTCATTAGTGCCGTTTAGAAAACAAAGAAAACAAAAGGCCAAGGCAAAGAAAACAAAGGCCTAGTGTGATGGTGTTTGGCCGAATTATTCAGCAAACCTAGCAACCCTGTTATAAACACGGCAATATTTGCATATAGCGGGACTGAATCATCGGGCTACCTACGTCACTGGTGGGTGTGGCTGAGGGGCGAAATTAATTTGGTAAACTTTTTCTGGATTTAGTACATTTTGAACAAACGTTTAGTAATCTGGTTTACCTCGCTACCAGTTTTTCCGCAACGGATGTATAATTCCATGTCATTGAGCATTTTCTAGATAAACAAAAACACAACAGACAATTCCCATTACAGCCTAATTTTAAAACTAGGCAAGGAGATGCAAATAAATCACCACAGCTAGAAAGAGCATACTAAAATTAGTAAAATTGCAAAGTTTGGTTGTGAAATGTTGTAAAATGCGGAAAATATAGCCTTGCAAAGTTTGTAAATTTTGTATGCTTTTGTATTGCGTGCGGAATTGCTAACATTATCGGCGCAAATGTGATAGCAATTTCCGCACGCAATACAAAAGTATAGTACAACATTTGCGAACTTTGCAAGGCTATATTTTTTGCGCATTTTACAACATTTCGCGACCAAACTTTGTAATTTTACTCATTTTAGTATGCTCTTTCCGGGAATATACTTTTTTGTCAAGATAAAAAAATTAGTCTATAATGGGAATTGTCTATTTACAAAAGATTTTAAGAATGTCCCATGCTTTGATCAGAGAAACATGGATGAACACAGAATAGAGAGATACAAAAGGCCGACTTCTTGGCTTCGGCCATGATTTTGGCGTAGCCGTTGCAATACTGTCTCGATGTTCTCAGCCAGTGCGCTTACGAGAGGCACTCACCCCCTGAAAATATTCCAAGTGGTAGACATTCAGGGGGGGGGGGGTATGCATGTCATAAGGCGCACTGGCTAGGAACATGGCGCGTGCATTTTGATGACGAGTCAATGCTAATCAAGGCGTTACGCTTTTTTGGCTAAGTCAGCTTTCTGTATTTATCTATTCTGTGAATAAAGGAGCGTTGACGTTACCAGTGCGCATGACTCATTTCCACAACTTTCCATATCTGTTGGTCTTGTTACAATTTCACAAGGACCTGGCGTCGTAGGAACTAAATGAAAATGGCAAGTGGGAAAATAAGAAAAATACAACAGTTTTGAGCAGAATAACTACATGTTAAAATCTCACATCAGGTTGGCCTCAGGGTCATAGCAATAGGAGGGGTAGTGTGTGTGGGTGGGTGGTAGGTGGTGGGGGGAGGTGGTGGGGGGAGGGGGTTAAGGGGATAGGAGGAGGTAAAAACGCCAATATAAATTCATGAGTAATTTCAAATTTGTCCCCAGAATAATTGTTTAATCGTTTCAATTTGATTCTTTCGAATTGACAATGTATACAGTGGGCAACTTGTATGTCAGATTAAATTTTAATCTAAGTAAAGAGAAGGGAATCAAACAGCACAGCTAAAAAGAACATAATGAAATTAGTAAAATTGCAAAATTTGGTTCCGAAATGTTGTAAAGCTTGGAAAATATAGTCTTGTAAAGTTTGCATATTTTGTATGTTTGTATTACGTGCGGAAATTGTTACCAATTTTTGAGCCGAAAATGGTAACAATTTCCCTCACGTAATACAAACATATACAAAATATGCAAACTTCGCAAGGCTATATTTTCCGTATTTTACAACATTTCGTAACCATATTTTGCGATTTTACTAATTTTAATAAGTTCTTTTCGGGAATTTACTTTTTTTTGCCTAGATCAAAAATTAGTCTAACATGCAAGTTGTCTGTTATATGCGATCAGTGAAACCATGGATAATGTGAAACCATGGTGAAACCATGAAAAATAAGTGAAACCATGGTGAAACTTACTTGTCGTTGGCAGGGGTGTGGTGGTGGCAGGGGGAAAAGTGATTGAACTTCCCGTCGTTGGAGCTTCAGTGGGTGATCCGCCTGACGGGACATTGCCCGAAGATCCGTCTGCATTTGAGGTTGTACCAGGGATAGACGTGGTATTTGAGTTTGCGCCAGGGATAGACGTGGTATTTGAGTTTGCGCCAGGGATAGACGTGGTATTTGAGTTTGCGCCAGGGATAGACGTGGTATTCATAGTATTGGAGGTTGAGCTAGGGATAGGTGTGGTAGTAGTGGCATTTGGGGATATTGATGGAGTTGCGGGGATTTGAGCGGTTGTAGGTGAAGATCCGATGACAGAACTGTTCGAAGCATTCGTTACTAAAGAAAAATAAAATAATATTTTTAGAAAACTGCTCAGTAACTTTAGAATGAGCATAACTGGTTCAAATTTTGATTAGAGTTTTTTCATGCAACTCTTGTTCCCGTTTGACCGGGACATGAGAGTTGAGAAAACTCTCATGCAAACTCTCGCTTGTCAACTCTCATGCAACTCTTGTTCTCGTTTGATCAAGCAATGAAAGTTGAGAAAATTCTCATGTAAACTTTCGCTTGTCAACTCTCATGCAACTCTTGTTCTCGTTTGATCAAGCAATGAAAGTTGAGAAAACTCTCATGCAAACTGTCGCTTGTCAACTCTCATACAACTCTTGTTCTCGTTTGATCAAGCAATGAAAGTTGAGAAAACTCTCATGTAAACTGTCGCTTGTCAACTCTCATACAACTCTTGTTCTCGTTTGATCAAGCAATGAAAGTTGAGAAAATTCTCATGTAAACTTTCGCTTGTCAACTCTCATGCAACTCTTGTTCTCGTTTGATCAAGCAATGAAAGTTGAGAAAACTCTCATGTAAACTCTCGCTTCTCAACTCTCATGCAACTCTTGTTCTCGTTTGACCATGGTTCAGTTGGCATCTGAGTTGATGAGAAGCGAGAGTTTACATGAGACTGAGAGTTTTCTTAACTCTCATACCCCCGTCAAACGAGAACAAGAGTTGCATGAGAATTGTGAATCGGTGAAACGCAAGAGTTGAAACTCTCATAGTTGACCAGAGCTGTACCGTTCGAGTACAACCAGGGCGCTTATATAAGCGCCCTGAGTACAACTGTATACCGCGAACGAATTTGCGTGATACGATTTCGAATTAACATTCGTCCTAGCTCCTAGTACAAGTGTAGTGTTATCTTGACATTGAAACGTCATCAATCATATAGTAATAATAAGTTTATTTCACTAAAACCCCCCAAATTATTTCAGCAAAAATAAAGAAAAAATTAAGAAGAACCAACCTGAATTTCGTATTACAGCAAGCAACAAAAACACCTGCGCAAATTAAAACGTAAAAGACATATGCTGTTAGCTGTTTAAATTTTACAACGAACTCTAAAAGAATTGCCAAAATATCGTACAAACAACTAGTATGTATAATACGGTATTTTTACCTTCGCGAAAGATATTTTGTAGAGTAACATTTTGATAAAATTTAGTTCATACGAAGTCTGACGGAACTATCAATTACATGTCGAATAGTCCCGCAAATATGGCAGTGTCATGGAGATGTTGAAATATAGCAGGTCAATAATATGACAGGTTATGTACATTTCAAATGAATAATTTATGGCTTGAAAAAGGACTCGAATCTAAATAAATTTGTATGCCAAATGTCTTAAAATGCCTCAAATGTATTAAAAAACCTCGGGCTTCGATTTTAACACGCCGATTTTGGAGTTGTAATCATATTGGAATTAACAAGCATGAAGGCTAGGCAAATTTTCAAAATGGAAAGCAAAAACTAGGTTCTCTTTTATATCCTCAACGAATACGTTTACAATATAAGACTTTTCAGTGGCGCAATCATGAAGTCGAAGCGCCTTGTCGGTTTAATCTAGGGGGCGGACCTCCCGCTGGGGTGTGGGGGAAGGGTAGGGGTCCCCAACCTAGTGGTGTCTAGCATGCTCCTAGAGAGGTCCAGCACCACCTTAAAAAATCAGCTCGACCATGTATTTTCTACTTTTTGAATAAATAAAAATAACTGCTTTTAAAATAACTGCTTTTTGAGCAGTAATTGTAATCAGTAGCGAACTATTTTTGTTCAAAAGTAGCAGTAGTTGTAGCTGACTACATATTCTACATATTTTTGAAGTAGCTGTAGTTATAGCGAACTACAAAAATTTTGTAGTCAACCCACCCTTGGAATATGGCTAATAAAACCTTTTGTATGTAGCTAATACATAATGTGCATATTTGAATTTAAAAATTAGGGTACGCTGTGCCGCGAGTCACGCAATCACGCGATGGCGTTTTACGTTGCAATTTCCAACCAATGAGAAACCTCCATTGAGATCACGTGTACAAACGGTGGCAATTTGAAATTCGAATTTGTTTTCACAAAACAATTGCTAGTTGAAACTTCAAAAGGTGCACGAGTTCACGCGGATAAAATAGGTAAAAAATTACACCTCTTGTTTTGAAATTAAAAATCTATGTTGCACTTGTGTTTCTGAGTCCAATGTTTTATTTTATAGGTATTATTTTGGCAAGAAACAGTCTGTTCAATTCGTGTGAAATATGGGGGCATCCAACAGCAAGGAAGGTATAGTTTAGAGCTCTAGTAAATCATTTTATGAATGTGGATTTGAACTGAACTAAGTTTATTTATACTGGATTTTGCTCGAAGATATTATTAGCTCATTGTTTGAGCTACTCTGCAAATTCGAGTTAAAATAAAGTGTATGTATGTAAGTATATGTATGTATAACTCTATCAGTTCTAAACTGTTCTTCCTAGAGGTCCAGTAAGGATCATCTCTTATTGATCCACAGTTACTACAGGAGGAAACCTAAACTAAACTAACTTTATTTATACTGGATAGTTCTATCAGTTCTAAACTGTTCTTCCTAGAGGTCCAGTAAGAATCATCTCTTATTGATCCAGTGTTACTACCACTGAGCTATAATATTACTGGAGGAGGTGCTCCTATCTCTCGTCAGTCAAAAAAGTGTCCGCGAAAACATGGCGGATTTTCACGTTTGCTGACGCCATATGGTTCCTCCGGCTCATGGCAATTACCACTGACCAACCGCGATCCTAAGCATCCGACAAAGACCTTCGCTCCCCTGTTTTTGCACAAATATTTTATGTTTTCAAGACAAAATCATGCCGTTTTTTTCCACTTGTGGATGCAAAAATTCGCTGTAAAGACTTTAAAAGGAAGAATATTTCTTCTGAAAGGTAAGATTTGTGAAAATTTTAAGTTTTTACCTTTTATTCGACAAATTTTCGATTGGCAAAGTCAGGGGCCGATATGCGTATAAAATCGAGGTATAAATATGTATTTGTCAAACACTTATATTTTATATTTACACCAATATTTCTGGAGCAGACATAAAAAACGTTGTACATGGTTATTTATACATTGTGTACATACATTTTCTTTCTAGTTTCAGGCACTGGCTTTTGTTTTTAGTGCCAGTTTATTAGTTTAAAGTCTTTAAACAGCATGCTGCTCATGCAATCTGTAGTTTGCTTTGTTTCATAAAGAGCAGTTAGCACTAGATTTATATACAGTATAAACAAGCTGTATTGTATCCTTCACAAATATTATAAACTGCTAGTCTTGCTAGGTTTTGTATCAGCATTTACCAATTGGCTGTAATTTAGGCTTTTTTTGTGGGGTTGTGCACTACATTTCAGTTCAGCATCGAGCTATCATCGACTTGTGCATACCCAAATTTGCATGATTTATACTTATATCATTCTTGCATTGGCATTACCTTGAATGCTAGTATGGGTCAACCTGACAACCTCTATGCCTCATAAAAATCTCCAAACAAAAAACCTCCTTCACTCAGAAAATACCTCTGTCATGGGAGTCTTGATTTATGTTTAGCCATATTTATTTAGGTCCCTTAGAGGTTAACCCATTGAGTCACATTGCACCCTACTTTATTATTTTACTCTGTCTGATGCCAGATGATTTTACTCATCAAGTAGAGAGTGCTGGTGCTTAATGGGTTAATAACTAGCCTACGTGTCTAGTTATGAGTCGCATTGCACCCTGATGCGCCCTTTACTCTGTCTAACGCAAGATTAATTTACTCTGTCTAACACCAGATAATTTTACTCGTCAATTGGGGAGAGCGATTGCGCTTAATGGGTTAATTCAGATTTATACAAGATTAGTGGTGCACAAGAGCTAACAGTTCCAATCCAGCCACAGCTGTAACTTGCAAAGTAGGGGTGGTGGTCTCAGCTAACTGGCCAGAACCTACAGTATGCACCCATTGCAATTAATTTTGAAATGTATATGAAACAGTTTCACACCATAGAATAAAACAATCATAAACAAAGTAACTTTATTTCTCATTTCTATTACAGGCATCGAAGTGATATGTAATTATACAAGAACTGAAGCAAAAATGTTCTTCCTGTAACAGATGTATTGTATCATGATAGTTAACATTGATGTATATGATCTTATTTGGGTGTAACAATGTGTAGTAATACAGTATCTGTAGTAGTAATCTGTTATCGCTACCAAAAGAAAATTGAAAAGAGATAAACATGCCAAACAGCCAAAGTGATGTCACAGCTCATGGGACTACAAAGTGATAATTATACTAGAATAACTTGATTATACAGTTAGTTCAAACTGATTGGGTCATTCAAAGAAATATCCACACCCCTAATGGAAGAGATGGGAGGTTCAGCTTCCTCCCACTTTTGGACACCCTTAGCTAATACTTTTACTATTATCAGCAGTTGAGTTCTGCCCACTTCAGACAGCACTTCAGACATATCTGTGGAGTTAGTGTTTATCTTTTCTGGAATGACTCATTGGTGATTGGTAGTTAATAATTATTCATTGAAGAATTTAAATTAAAATAATACAATTTCAACTGCATCATTGTGGTGGTAAATAATTCTGCAATAAACAAGAATAGATTATATAGGTTACTCTAAAAGAGAAAAAGCATGAAAAATCATATCAAGGGAAAATGAGGAATACAAAAGAAATATACTAGGTTTTCAGACAATGCTTGAACTTTGTTGGCAAGTTGAGTGACCCCTTGAAAATACATTGTTTTTTCAGAATTATATTTATCAAGAAACTATTAGAAGTTACAGAAACCATAATCCTATGTGTATGTACACCAAAAGCTAAAAAAATATGAACAAATATAAAGGCCCCAAGCTCTTCAGCTGAAACGCCGAGGTTTATTTGTCTTAGTTTTAGCTACAGTGGTTGCATCATCCTGCACTAACTAGAACCCCCACCCAAGAACTACAATCATAGTGATTCAAAACTCCTTAAGGTACTCCGACAGCAGAATGAGCTTCCTTGAGTACCTCTAGCTTTTGCATATAAAGTTAGTACAAAATATAAAATACTATAAAGTCTCTTTTTTATTCCCTCAAAATATAGTGGTAAGTACTAGCTGGTAGCACATTATACTGTACTTTCATGTAATCATGTCATTATAAAATCAGTC